GTTTGTATTTTAATAAAACGATATTAATTGATTGTAATTATTTATATATAAAATTGCTATGAATTTATTAAATTCTAATACTGGAGAGCATAATTGAACGATGAAAAATTGTAAATAATTTAAACTGTTATAACTTCGTAAAAAGAAATCTCATTTAGTCTCATTTTAAAACGTAAAGCCTGTACTTTGATTATTCTTTCAAAAATGTTATATCATATAGTAGGTAAGATATCTTTTTTCTTGAAATTTCGAATGATTTTAACCTTTAAAAACATTGACAAATTTTTTTTATAACTAAATCCACTATAAGTTTGAATGGTCTTGGCCATTTTATTAAATTTCGAATATCAGAATTAAATGAGAAAACATTAGGATTCAAGCACAATAAAATATTAAAAAAACTTGTACATCGAGTTTTAAAATGTCCCAATAACAGGAAGATTTCAGTTTTCAAAATGATCGGTAGATTCAGTCACAAAGAAAATTTTTTAATGTTCTTAAAAATTTTCAAATTACAATTTCTATGATTTTACAAATTATAATAGTTTAAATTATCGACAATTTTTTATCGTTATTGGTTCAATTATGTTCTTTACTATATAATTTACTTTATTCTTAAATTCGATCGCAAAATAAATACATATGTATGATTTCAGCGGTATCGAAGATATTCAGAATTTATAGAAAATTAATGGATAAAAAAAAACTATAAAATTAACGAGTTAAAAATGTAATTATATTAAATAACTCATGGACAAAAATATCGGTGCCGTGCGTCAAATTTTTCGCTCGTTTCATTGTTCCGAGTAGAGGATTTTTGTTTCAGGCTAACAGCCAGTAATCTGCCATTTTTCTTCGTGATGTTCGTTGACTTTTCGTTTCGTAGATTACCATTTATTTCGATATGTATATATAAGTTTGGTCGTTTTTCGCTTTGGAATTTCGATTTGTCTCCGTGAAAGAGGAAATGTTATACGAGAAAAACCATAGCATGTACATTTATTAATTCGAGTAAAAAAAAAAAAAAGAGTGGAGCAGTTTTCTTGGAAAGTTGTGGATCAACATCGAATTCTTTAATTTCACCGCAAGTTCATTCGTTAAAAGTTTTAAATCCTTTCTTTTCTCTGTTCTCATGTATGTAGTTGTTTAAACTCGATATGGATTTATCTCATTACCTGTTATCTCCGTGAGGAGGACGTTCTCTCACTTTGTGACTCGTTTTGATATCATTCACCTTGACACATCGTTTATTGAACGCAAATTTATTCAAGAAGAGTAAACGGATATTTGAATATCAGGTAAAACGAAACTTATTCATTGTTATACATGCGTAAAGTAAATCAAAGCAAAATTGTGCTTAGGTTAGCGACGTATCAGCTGACATAGTGGCCAAGTTCATTTCATTTAAATAAGATAATCGTTAACTATACGTATTATTCGTTGAGAACATTTTTCTTGGACTTTACTCCAATTCAAAGCATTACAGATTTAATACAGAAATGATAATACTTTGCGCATCAATTCAAAATTATAAATCTTCGGCACGTGATGATATGATAGATACGTTGAAACGAATTATTTCTCTGTGCAGACGTTAAAAAGCAAAAAGGCAACGAGAGGATTCTATTCTAAGTCGGGGGTTAGGTGGATCATGCACTCTACAACCGCACGATCTAATCGATCGACCATACAGTCTTCAATTTCGTCTACGTCAGCCCCATCGTCCCTTGTACACCCACAGCAACAACAAATTCTTTATGGTCCTATCGCTAATCCGACAGTAACCCTTCAACCATGCGGAAATGGTTTGCATCCCTCGTGTATTTATCCAGGAGCGCAACGTAACGCTGGTCTGACTAATCCTGCTCCTTTACATATACAAGGTGTAAATACGTTTCCTTTAAAAATCTTTTTCATTTGATATCTTCAAAAATATCACGATGAAATTAATTTATCTTTAAACAAAATAAAAAAATACGACCATTATTTAAACTACTAATGATTACATTTTCAATTACCATAGACTACAATTTTTTTTTTTTTTTTGTATCGACAATTGCAGAATCTGTTTTATTAACGATCGAATTAACAAGACTTCTTTTTTATTGATTACA